GCTGGCGTGACACCTCACTTCGCATCTTGAACCTCTCATTCCAACTCAGCATACAATCTGACTGCCCCCAAAGACTCAATCAAATCAAATCAGTACCAGCACAGCAATCTTCTCAACACACTGTTACAAAAACTTGCCCACATTTGCCTCTATTTTTCAACGCCTCACCACCATCACCACACCTGCACCCCAGCAGTGGAAACGCCAACCAGCCACAATGAAAAGCCATAGTAGAAATGCGTACGTCTTTTGGCACATCAAGCCTTAATAGATGTGTTAATAGTGGCCCTCAACAAGGCCGTAACATGACTTCACTAACACAAACTGAGCGCAGTGAATGTGATGCCGCGGTGCATTGCAGCGAGGCCATTCATCCCCACCACCACCACCACAACTGACGATAGCTACACCCGCACCCACGACCACACCGCCCACACTCACACCACCTACATGGAGCTGGTGCACTTGGTTACAGCCTTGGTGACCTCCGACACCACGTCCTTCGCCAACTCACCAGGCAGAAGCAGCAGCAGCAGACTCACAGCAGCCTATAACTCTCTGCTCGTGACTGCCGATCTCCTTTATAATGTGCCAACCTACTCGGCTCGGCTGCAATCCACATAATAATGTCGTTCATGCTTGAGTTCATGATCGGCATCACCTTCGACAAGATGCCTGCCTCCAGTGTCACCTGCCGTATCACATTGTAGATGAAAATGGCGTAGCTCTCCTTCCCCTCCTCCTCCTCTGCCCCATCTCTGCTTTTTCTGTCTTCAGCATCGTCGTCCTTCAACGTCTTCATGACAGCCATGCCCAATACCACCTTCCAAGCCATAACAATCTCTATGCATTATACACCATGCGCTACGCCAGCTTTCAAGCGCCAGTGGCACGCACCACATGATGTTTTTGGCTCCTCCTCCACCAGTTATACTTACTCATAGTCGACAAAGATGACTTTGCAAATGGTGGTGCGAGCATTAGCCAATGGCAAGGACGACAACAGCATTAGACATCTTTTTATTGGCTGCGCTAACTCTCCACCTGGCTATCAACGCCAGCTATGTACCAGAAAACCAAAATTGTCCCCTTATGGAGTTA